CTCTGGAACTTACGCGATCGGCAACCGGACGTTTATTGTTTTATTGCAGTCGATCTCTGTTCTGGACTTGCACAAACTGCGTTGCAATGCATATCAATTTCCAAATGTCATTTATGGGAAGATATGAAGTCTGTAAACGCCCGTTAACACAGGCCAGATACGCTGAAGATGGACGCAAAGAGAAAAATACTGTAGCAGGCAGATCACTCACTGTTCATGATGCACGAACTATTGGAAGAAAATCCTCAATATTGATTTGGGGGTTTATATGAATGTGTTTCTGAGGGGAACTGACTATCTTCAGAAACGTTTAGATGGTATTTTCTTTTCATCTCGTCCCTGTATAATTCACATTAAAGCAGTGTTTTCAGCGCAGCGCTGCTTTGTTTACAGCGGTAACCAAGGAAACACCGTATCTGGTGTTCCATGAGCGCCTCCTGCTGTCAGAGAGTGAATCTGCGTCTCATTCAGAGCTTCTGCTGTTTGCTTCGTTCAGGCATGTAGTATAATTTCACAAAGCTAGTCAGAACATTCTGTTTTTGCTTCAAATTGGGTTATTATTAAATCAAATTATGTATATGAAATTATATAACTAAATGATATGTATATGAATTATATAACTAAAATTAAATAACTGTAATTACAGATTTAGGTTAAATAAAAAATGTCAGTCTTTATTTTTCTTCTTTTTAGGGTAGCAGTAGCTCTAGCAGCAAATCAACCATCCACATCAAAAGCTGCAGGACAGCCCACATTTCAGAAACAAATCAAAGAAAAAATAAACAAATACTACTGTTCCAAATATTCTGTATGTTGCTCAAAATATATTGTGTTCAGTTTTTTTTTTTTTTTTTACCCAGACATTTCAAATTAACACATTTTAGAGCTGTAACAACAATACCGTGATACCATAATATTTTTGCTTAAGGTTATCAAACCGTCAAAATCTCATACCGGCCCATGCCTACATGCAATTAAACTATATGCAATCATTCAAACATTTGGGGTGAGTAAGATTTTTTTAAAGGTTTTAATATAACACATCAAATTGATTAAAGGTGACAGTAAAGACATTATAAATGTTAAAAAAGATTTCTATTTCAAATAAATGCTGTTCTATTGAACTTTCAACTCAAAGAATCTTGATAAAAAAAATTGCATCAAAGTTTTCACAAAAATATTGTGTGTGTGTTTATTTATTTGTTTATTTATTTATTTATTCCTGTGATGGCGAAGCTGAGTTTTCAGCAGCAATTATTTTCTATTAAAGGAAACATTTATTATAATAAATTATATATAGATATATAATAAATATAAGTTTCAATGTAATTGTATTAGGTTGCAAATCAAGCAAGATAGATTATGCGTGATTCCCTTGCACTGCTTCGTTCTGCCTATAAGAATCCTGTTTAATGTATTACTTTTCTCTGGAGAGCAATGAGGTGTGAGGTCTCAAACTCACTAACATCACTAATTCAGTTTAGTATCCTCTCGACGACACCACAACCCCTCTCATTCTCTCTCCCCACATTCTGAACTGTCCTTATGAGACCTCTATGCTTATCTTCATAGCCTTCAATAGAGGGACTTGAAAAGATACTGAGATGAAGGAGAAAAGACTGCAGGCTAGTGAGGGGCAGACACTAAGAAAACAGGTATAGTTCACCCAAAATGTTTTTTTAATGAATTCTGTTGTCATTTATACACCGTCCAAGTGATAAAAAAAAAAACTTTCTTCCATGGAACGCAAACAGAGAGGTTTAAACAAATATCTGAGCTGCGTATATCTATACAATGGAAGTGGATGGTGTCCTCAGGCTATCAAGCTCCAAAAGCTCTGTAAAAGCATCATAACAGTAATCCATATGACTCATGTACTATAAGTCTTCTGAATCCTTATATATGGTCTGATCCATACATATAATCCAACGTGATCTCATGATAATTCGTATGTATTTTACGTAAAAATCGTTATTCACTGAAAATCTTCCTCCACTTCCCAGGTCACCATTCACTTTCATTGGATGGAAAAAGCAGCTTGGATCACAGAAGAAACAATGTCCTTAGTAGGTATGGAATGACATGAGAGTGAGTAAATGATGACAGAATTCTAATTTTTCTGTGAACTCTTCATTTAAATTAATCAAGCGTCTGAATAAAGACACTGCAGAGATGAGAACAAGGAGGGTAGAGAGACAGACGGAGAGCAAAAGTGAGAAAGAAAAAAAATCAAGATGACAAGAGGTGCCAATTCTAAATTATACACCACGCTCTCGTGATGGCTGGAATCCCCCGTAGTCCTTGTGTGGCACCTCCGCTGGACCCTGAAGGACCCCATGCTGGGTCCTCAACAAGCTACGAGCATCTTAAAAGCCTCTATAAGCCCGTATTTAAACAAAGCAATCCAGCCTGGTCACACTTTCAACAGTGCAATCGGTGGTTAGTGCTGTGCCTGAACACTATCACAGCAGGGAATCCACGTTTGCGAAAATTCAAGCACTCCAGGGCAGCCGCACTAACGCTACTCAAAGCAAATACAGAGTCAATGGAGGAAAGAAAGAGCAGATGTGAGGGTACCGTGGATTTGGTAACGAGATTCAATGACAACAAATTGCATTATGTCTTATCACTTCAAAAATACATGCACAATTTGAACAGATGGAGAAAAGTGTGCAAACAAACACTCAAATAAAAGATCACTTAAAAAAAAGCACAAGCAAGGCTTGTGTAAAGTTGTATGCGTGATATAATTTACCTGCTAAAGAACATGCCAGAATAGTTTTCCTTTGTTTTCTCGCAATCTTATTATAACATTTACACAACGTACTACTAGACTGAAAGAGCTTTGCTGCCCTCTGTTGGCCAACACAGCCATTTTTGAGTTCCCCAGAAGGACATTTTTTTGTCTTTGAGAAATATTTCATCTTATCACTTCAAAAATACATGCACAATTTGAACAGATGGAGAAAAGCGTGCAAACAAACACTCAAATAAAAGATGACTTAAAAAAAGCACAAGCAAGGCTTGTGTAAAGTTGTATGCGTGATATAATTTACCTGCTAAACAACATGCCAGAATAGTTTTCCTTTGTTTTCTCGCAATCTTATTATAACATTTACACAACGTACTACTAGACTGAAAGAGCTTTGCTGCCCTCTGTTGGCCAACACAGCCATTTTTGAGTTCCCCAGAAGGACATTTTTTTGTCTTTGAAAAATATTTCATGATTTAAAAAAAAAAAAAAAACTTTTAATAGAAAATGTAAGACGATTCATAAAAATAATAACTTTAATACTGCACATTATCATACATTTTCATGGTCAATTATGGGTTGATTATTAATCTGGCTCATAAGTATCAATCAAATCATTAAACATATGCAACATTAAATTTGCAAATCATTAACTTCCATGGATGCAGAAAGCTGCAAGATGTGCTTACGATGTTCACATCAATTGAGGACAAGATGATTAGCAAAAAAGTCAATAAAGCAGGACGCTCCAGCCCTTTAAGACCATTAATTTAACCCTTTAATTATCAGCTTTCAAGCTCTAACTTCATCACACACTGGTGAGGATTTAAATTGGACTGAGATTTGCAGAAACACTTCCTTCAATCAGATCTTTTTCAGGTAAGAGCAGTAACAATCAGCTCCAGCTGTGGAGGTAGAGGACAAACACTGCAGGAGGATCTAGTTGATCATTTAAAGTGTGATGTTACCTAACACTGTTATCAAACTGTGCTGTATTGCAGACCATGATACAATGCTGCCCTCTATTGGTGGAAACACACTACGAACAAGCTCTGAGGTATCAAACTGTATAAAACACAGCCCTGAAGCTCATTGCAATGAAAACATCGGGAGTAAAGCCTTATTTAAATAAAACCTTTTAAGTAAATCAATTTATGAATTCATTCATGTTACAAATACTAATAAATTCAAAAACCCGAGCCTCATGGGGTGACATATGATTCAATTAGTAAAACATTTCTGTGCAATTTACACAATTTTTATTCAGTACGGATTCATTAAACTGATTCATCAAAAGTAACAGTAAAGACATTTATGTTTTTGTTAATAAGCACAGCTACTGAAAATTTAGCTTTGCCATCACAAGAATAAATTATATTTGAAAATATATTAAAACAAAAAAAACTCTTATTTTAAATAGTATTTTTTTTTTTTAATCAAATGAATGCATGTTAACAAATCATCATTAATATTGTTAATTAATATGGTTCATATTTTAACTGATCATGGCTCATCCAGTCATAATTAGAGTTGGAACTATCTGTACAACTTATAGTGGGACATACTGTGGAAAACCGGGTTTTGTTTGATTTTTTGACATTAAAGAGTTTAATGTACTATGCAGACATACTCAAGTGCACAAAGCTCCCTCCCCATTCCACGATCTGTGATTAATTAACTAAAATACAAAATAAAGCCTGCACACACAAAAAAAAACTGCTATATAACTAAATGCATCATATTAAGCAAAATCAGATGCATTATATGACAGTGCGTAACAGTCTCTTTCCATCCCAGTCCACAATAATGAAACTCAGCGCTGTGTTGCCCTCTACTGGACAATCTCTGATATAGCTTTTCTTTCACACCAGAACAATAACTTGGGACCAAAAATATAGGATACCTCTAATTAACCATTCCAGTAATTTTAGAGGAAAAAAAACAAATCTACAATAAATGCTACACCATATAATGACGTTTTAGAGAATTCTGTGTTTTCATACTTTTCTGTACTTTTTGCCATAAAGTGTAGACAGACAGACAGACAGATAGATGATAGATAGACAGACAGACAGACAGACAGACAGGTGATAGATAGATAGATAGATAGATAGACAGACAGACAGACAGACAGACAGATAGATAGATAGATAGATAGATAGATAGATAGATAGATAGATAGATAAGGACTGTATGAAGGCTCAGAGAACAGTCAGGTGATATTTTTAGCTGCATCCTGTGAACTCACCTGATTTGTGGGCTGATCGTAGACATGTGAGCGAGGCATTGAGCCGAGCACATTCTTCATCACTCGCTCCAAACTTCTGCAGCGCCTCACACACCTGCTCATCCGACATCTCCAACAGAGCCTCCAGAGTCAGCTCACCTGGAGAGATCTCCTACAATAAAGAGACAAGTCTGAGATGTGCAAGCTGACCTAGACTGAAAAACCATTTGAGAAATCATTTGTATGTCATTCACTTGCGCCCCATGAGATTTTTGAGCCAAGTGGATTTTGACTACAACTTCCAAAAAAGTATGTTAAAATAGTATACTACTGTTCAAAAGTTCAGGGTCAGTGAGAGGTGTTTTTTTTTTTTGTTTTTTGTTTTTTTTACAAAATTAATGCTTTTATTCAGCAAGGATGCATTAAATTGATCACAATTGACAGTAAAGACATAATGTTACAAAGGATTTCAATTTCAACTTTAAATTCATGAAACAAAATCCTTAAACTGTCCCTAAACCTTTGAACAGTATTGTTTAATTTAGTCACATATACATCATTTATTCACATACATGTTCCTCAAAACTCATATAAGTTGGTATCAAAATGACAAGCAGTGCAAATACTATATTAGCCCATTTAATTACATACTATGGGAAATTCAAAGTGAAATTGCATAACAAAAGGGCATTAATAGAATGAAAAACATGTTAAAGTTAAAAATTACCAATAAATTATTCATTTTATTAAATAATAAATAAATGTATCATGTTAAACAAATGTACCTTTTGATTGAAGTAAAACATTAAACAATACTGTTTTATATAATTTAAGTATGATTTGATCTGAACAAATAAATCATTTGAAATACCTCCTTTAAAAAAAAAGTAACAGGGTTTATAAAACTAACCTACAGAATATTGAGATGAACTGATGACAAAGGACTTGAGACTTAACTTGGACTCATAAACATGTCTGCAACACATAACATTACTGATGCTGTTATCCACAGTAAATTACAATAAATGCTACAACGACATATTAGACCAATACACTTATTAAAACAAATGCTTTGCTCAGTGGTGACAGATTCAAAACTACAACCTTCAATTACCATGCAAGATGCCTATTACATTCAAATTTAAAATGTAAACACTCAGCTGTCAGCATCTTTAAAATATAACATTATTTTAGCTTTTAATTCTAAAACATACAACTTTACTCTTCGCTTCAGTCTCAATAGTGCACAACAGTCCCTGTCCACTTTTTTCATCGGTCTTCATTCAGGAAGTATTTTTCCCATTCATTCTTTCCAAAGATAATTTTCAAAATGTCTTTATTTAAGAGTTCTAAACCACAAACTAAACCAACAGGCTATGAGGTGAATCACAACTTTACAAACTTTGATTTGTAACGAAAAGTATTTGAAAATCGGACAAAAAGGCAAAAGGTACAAGACTCTGTGCTTAACGGCTCAAACGAGGTAAGGAACTACAATCCCATGAAGCACTGCAACTGACATCGAATTAAAAACAAAGGAGAAATATAAAAATATTGATTTAAAGATGTTGGTTATATATAGAGAAACAAACTGGTTGAAATAATGTGAGCTGATGGCTTCAGCAAAAGCATATTCCATTGGTTAATTCCCCTGTGGACAAAATTAATAGGATTTTTATTTGAGGAACGGTTGTGTTCTATATAGTTGCAATTCCTTCTCCACATCAGCAGGGGGCTTCAGCACATTGGACAGCGCCAACACTTCAGCACTGAGGACAGCGACACAGGAGGAAAAACCTCAAGGCCTTCAGAGTATCTGCTGTTCTAGATCATATGTTTACAACCTTTTATGCCATCAGAAGGGAAATATTTCGAGATGTACTGCATGGGGAGGCTCAGAAGCAGCTACTTCCCACAAAACATCCTGATCCTACATAAGCATGCTCTCACTAGCCAACCGTAAACCAGTCACACATTTACATATAATTACACATCTCTCCACACACTCACTTAAATCTGGATTTCACATTACTATGTTCACTTTAGTGTACAATTTCTAGATATTTATATATTGTATTTATTTTCTTTCTTCTGTTTTCTGCCTTTATTTTCATTGCATAAACATTGCTTGTAAAACGTGTGTAATTTGTCTGCTTTCTTAACATATTGTTCCTGTTTTCTAATCATTTCCTCTTACCAATTTCAACTTGAAATCAAGCACTGACAATGAATCAATATGGTGTAATTAAATCAATACGTAGGGTTAGTAAAAATATCATAAATTTAATATCATAAATAAAAACATCAAACAGATGTAATTGTTTTTAGTAATAAAGCGGAGTAAAATGTTCAGTATTTAAGACAAGATTTAGTGACATTTTCTTATTCAATATTTTCACTTGCAGTATCAAAACTTGCTTTTCTTTTCTCTGCTAGATTGTTTTGATTTGATTTGCAAATATTGCTTATGACAGAAATTGCTGTTCTTACAGTATATTAAAATTATCGCTTTAAATCATACATTACTGTGCACTTCCAAAAGTTAGAGATCAACTGGCTTTATTTGCTTGCCAGATTTAGATGCATTTGGCACTTAGTCCTTCTTGACATTGATAATAGATTGTGGCAGTATGAAAACACATACAAGGATTTTTAATGTGTTATGGCCGAGCGGAGGAGAGAAATCAATTATCCGGAAGTGAGGAAATGTGTATTTAAGGTGGAGCTGCAGGAGAGCGCAGCAGTAGTTAGCAGATAGATGCAGGTCACCTGAATCAAGTCAGACGCTGTCGCTGCATTGTGGAGACCTCGCTGTGTTTGGGCAGGGTGGATCGCTACGAGCGTGAGTTGCTGGGCGATCGTTTGAGTGTGCGTGCTGCACCTCCGGACACCAGCTCTCTTATGCTGACAAGTGCGAGCAGGATCTCGAGGTGAATTGCTGTTGTTCATCTCTTAAACCTCATGTTAAGAAAACTTCCCCCTGCCATTAGCGGCCAGCAATCCATTCGTATCTCAAAAACACACACTCTTTTTTGTCACACACAAATATCCACAAACATTAACGCGCGCACTTTCACGAAACACTTAACGTTAGTAAACCTTGCTGTTTGGTATTTGTATTATCTATCACTCTAAAAAATGCTGGGTTGTTTCAACCCAATGTTGGGTCAAAAATTGACTAAGGTAGCAGTTTCACTGATGCATGTAAACCTCAGCAGATTCAGCACTCCTTGAGATACAATGTGTAGAAGGTAGTAACAAGAGACAAAAGAAACATGGAAGAAAACATTAAATATAGAATTCTTAGATCACATTAAACATGATTAAACACTTGATTATATTTGTACACTCTAAAAAATGCTGGGTTGTTTCAACCCAATGTTGGGTCAAATATGGACTAACCCAACTGTTGGGTTAAAAAGTTAATTTAAAAATGTAACCAAAATTGAACCCAACAGTTGGGTTAGTCCATATTTGACCCAACATTGGGTTGAAACAACCCAGCATTTTTTAGAGTGTACAAATATAATCAAGTGTTTAATCATGTTTAATGTGATCTAAGAATTCTATATTTAATGTTTTCTTCCATGTTTCTTTTGTCTCTTGTTACTACCTTCTACACATTGTATCTCAAGGAGTGTTGAATCTGCTGAGGTTTACATGCATCAGTGAAACTGCTACCTCAGAGGCACCTTCTTCCATTTTCTTTCAAGTTTTATTATTTCCTTGTCATTGTTGGACTACAAAGTCGGTAGAAAGACTATATTGGAACTTACCCTTTTGAACTTTGGTGGATTGTTGAAAATATGAGTGTGAACCAAAGTACTAAGTTTTCTGTTTGATTCCATATTGATTGTTGAAAATATCTCTGTGAAACTGAGGTTGCATTAGAACTTGAAAAAGAATGCAAAGTTTTTCTGTTTGTTTTTTTTTATTAATTGTTAAATACAACTTTGAAACTATGAACCTGAACTTATTTTGTGTGGACATTTCATTCAAATTTTTTTTTTATTTCATCGGTGGTTACATCTGTTAGAAATTTTCTTAGATCCCGCCACCAAGATAATGTAGAAATTAAAGTTGCTAACTGATTGGATGAACTAAAAACTTTCATGAGCTAAGACCAGCATTATTTTAGCATCACTGACTGATATACTATTATAGTTTTTGCTAATATTTTCAATTAGACTTTATTTTTATATATTCTGTTTTCATTTTAATTTTAGTTAATGTTTTCATAATTTTGTTATGTTTTTGTAATTTGTATTAGTTTTTTTTTTAAATATGTCTATACAGTTTTTTTTATTAAGTTTTAGTTTATTTAGTCTAAGCTGACAATATTTCTTTTTTTATATTTTATTTCTGTTAATGTTTATTTTTATTTCAAGTGCTGTGTAGAATTAGACTTTGTTTTTATATTTTCTGTTTTCATAATAATTTTGAAGTTTTTGCAATTTTGTTAGTCTTTAAGTTTTAGTTTTATTTTAGTTATTTTAGTACTTCAATTTTATACAAAAATTTGAAATGTTGCCAGCTGTTTTTAATATTTTATTTTGGTTAATGTTTATTTCAAGTAATGATTTTGTTCATGGTTTTAGTCTTAGTTAACGATAATAACCCTGTTTGAGACAATAATAAAATTCTAAAGATTTTATTGGTAATGTCAATCACAGGGCTGATTACCTAAAGCAAATGACACCAATACTAACCCCTAACCCTAACTTTAGTATAGCATTGGTAGCACATCTTAATAGACAGCATTACAGTCTGTCACAATCGAATTCATCCATGATATTTCTAACTGAATCCATGAAGACTGAACTTTTCTTGACAGATGACTGTGATGGAGTTGGTCAATGAAATCATCTGTGGGGTGGGGTTTGTGCATGACTGGTTTAGAGCACAACACACAGGATTGTACATACCTCAATAACCTCCTTCCTCATGTTAACAATGCGGAACCAGTGTCCCAGCCGCGGGAATCCATCCAACTCCACATTCTGCTCCTGTAAGGACACTTTACGCTTGCAAGAGAGCTGCCGACTAAAATACTTCACCAGTTTACCCTGAAAAAAAAAGAAAAAAATAACTTTATGTAGCACTCATTAACCTATATGATTTTTAAACATTTTTAATATGTAAATATAAGTTGAACAATTTACATCAGTCACATACGCAGGTCTGTAAGCGAACTCTAAATGCAATGCTTGGCATTTTTATCTGTCCTTCATGTCATTCAATATTTTATGATCTTTTTGAACTGATTCACAGCATGTTGGAAAAACATGAATATTCTAAACTGGACAAGTTTCCCAAGAGTGATGCCATTGCAGTGTTTGCGCAGGGAAACGAGGAGGAATACGAAGGCAACATTTTAAGCTTTGTTACTACCTCCATGAATAAACAACACACAAAAAAGCTCACAGGAGACACTAGCTTATTTTCAACACTGAAAAGAATTTGGTACAGAATTTTTTTACTCATAAAATGCTAGTTAATTTCAAAAACAATCACAGAAAAACAGCAAGTAACACATTGAATTAAATTTGAAATTTTGAAGTAGAAAAACTGAAATGGTAGGCCTATTGTTTTTTTGTAAAAGAATTTTTGTTTTACTTTGTTTTAAAGACTTAATATTGAACTATTCACAACTGTTTGGGAGGCAAAAAGTGTAAATGCACTAAATGATTCTTACATCAAGTAAATATTGCTAAAAATTATACTTTTTAGGTGTTTTCCGTCATGATATACTCATTTTTAAGATGAAGAAAAAATCAGCAGGTGAGTTAGAGTAAGACATTCTTTAGGTTTATACTGAAAATATAACAGGTTTTGTGGTTCAGCTCCATTCCCAGCATGCGCCAGGGCATGAATAATTCATATGGCTATATTGTTAGACCATATACCAGTTCTATTTACACAGTTGTTGGGGGTTTTGTTGTCAAATTTATAAGTGTTAGACATTTTAACGTATTTCACGAATAATTTTATGATGAATATTCATGTAATATAGAATGTTCATTTCTTATAGGAAAAAATTAGATCAAGCACATCATTTGAACTATTTAAAATAAAAAATAATAACTGTAAAAAAAAACTTATTCTTAATCATTCTGCATTAACTCACAACATTTATTTACTGTGTAAATTGATTAATTGAACTTAAAAAGCTGTATGAACACTTTTTGTTTACAACAAAAGGCACAACATGCAGCAAAATAATGGATTTGTTGTGTCCTTATGGATTATCCACAAGCAAGTCTGCGCTATAGAGTACATGAAGAATATCACACACTGGATGCCATCAAGATACATCTTGACCTTTCAAGCTAATGAGTAAATAGTAATCAGCTATTTGATCATTTCAACCTTATCAGTTTATTAAACACTGTCCATAAAAATCTGTAGTCTGTTCAGTTTCATTTGTGTTGAGTTGATCTCCCATGGCAACACTGTTTGCTGAACGTTACTGTATGAAAACAAAACACATTGTCTGTGGCTAGCTGAAATAATCAAAGATTAGAGACATTCCTTCTAATGTACAGTTTCATTCAAAGTTCTCAATTCACTCCCTGAACTAAATACCCTTTCTGAACTGAAATGGACTGACCCAAATCCCTGTCACTCTCTCTTGTTATTTTGGAATGGCTGCAGGTACAGGTGCATCTCAATAAATTAGAATGTCGTGGAAAAGTTCATTTATTTCAGTAATTCAACTCAAATTGTGAAACTCGTGTATTATATACATTCAGTGCACACAGACTGAAGTAGTTTAAGTCTTTGCGACATTCTAATTTATTGAGATGCACCTGTATATTTCGAAAAGGACAGACTAATTCTTTAACCCAAAAAATCCCAAACTTTTTGTCAGCTGAACCCTTTTAACAATTAACTCTTTTTTAAGTAAATATTTCAATAATTTAACAACACATTGACATTTTAAGTTAATTGTCACATGACATGCAGGTAAACAAATAAAATATTTTATTTGAATTTTTATTCAATCAATTATTTTAATTTTACATTTTTATGATTCAAGATCATTGACTGATTGATTGATTGAGATATCTGTCCATTATGGAAGCCAAGGAATAAAAAAAGGGTATTTACAACATTTTTACTCACAATTCATACTGTGTTACTCACAATTCTGATTTTAAAAAAAAGCCTGAATTTTGAAATATAAACACAAAACTGTGAGATATAAACTTCCAATAAAAAAAAAAAAAATATATATATATATATATATTATTCTATGTTGTTTCTAATGTAATTTAAGCCAATGGCAATTTGTAAGCAAAGGATATGCTTGTTTTAAACTATTAACCAATGAATATTATAAACATACAAAACTATAATTAATAAGAATCCTTGATTAGAAAATACTACAGATTCTATCAGTATCTGATGTATTTGAAGGACATGGTTTGTCTAGACCACATAAAATGTCCTCTTGCAATATACTTTAAACCATGAATGAGTTTTTATTATTTTTGGTAAAAGCTCATATAGGTAAAGAGGGATCACTGTATTGTTGCCATTACGCTTTGAGCATCACTGGTGCCTGGTAAATTGAGGATGCTAATGCACGTCCATCGCCAGATAAACAAGCAAGAACCCCCTGATAATATCTAATGTTTGTAATTATTATTCCATCAACACGAACAAACAAAGTGCTTCATTGTGACTTACTGACACTAGTGACGGCTGCAATCGACAGCCAATGGAAAACGGGTTTCCCAACATCAAGAGAACAGAGTGCAAAAATACTAGAAAGCTTCAGAAAAGCAGACTAAGTCAAAAAAAAAAGGCCAAACGCTATGCCAACATGAATGCAACAGCACATAATCATGATCAAAAGTATAACCTTACTCAAAACACAGATATAATCACTAAATACTATATCATAAGACCAATGAAAGACAAATAACTTACTATAGCCCGCTGAAAGGTAAGATATTGACAAGATAATAATGGTGGGTTAAGAAATAGGTGTCATACAGGCGACACATCAAGCCCATAAGCGGAAATAAATTTTCTTGCATCTGCACAGAGCCACAGACCCAGTCTAATGTAAAACAATATTTATTTGAATATTTTAAATAGCATACTGAAACACAAAGCAAAAGAAGTCAACAAACTGGCAGGGTTGCAGTTGGATGTGGTTTAATCTAAAATTCCCCACCCATTCAAACAGGTGAGACCAGGGCTGTCACGAAAGTTTTCACAAGGGTTTTATATCTCAGTAACCATAAGGTTTCGAGTTACAAGTCCAATGGCACAAGTGTGTTTTGTATGTTGGTTTTAAACACCTAGTTCAAAACTGGTGTTTTATATGTTGTAATCTTGAACAATTGTTAATTACAGTATCTCTTAAAGCAAGCCAAAACAATACTCTGATATTTTTTCTTATGTTACTCTACCTTTTTGCTGTATAATTGTTTAATGGTTTACATTTTGCTGAAAAGCCTAAAATAAAATAGAGAGTAACAGGGAGTCCGATTCCTGAATGAATGGCTCTTATGAGACAGTTATTTGTAGTAAATCAAAAACATGCAGCACAACAAATGTAGTTGGATCACTGATCTATAATAGAGAAGTCATTATATAGATCAGTGAGTTGGATAGATTCCTGAATGAATGACTCTTATGAGTCTGTTCTTTTTAGTAAATCGAAAGCATATGGTGTGTGTAAAGTAATTTGATTCCTGAGCAAATTACGCATTTGAATCGGTTCTTTTTAGTGAATCAAATAAATATAGTGAGATCAGCGTAGTCAGGGTTTAAATTGGACCGGGGCCGTCCGGGGCTGAGACCCGGCACAGGGGCGTTTCTAGCCATTTTGACGCCCTAGGCGAAATCCAAATTGGTGTGACGCGTGAACTTCCACTTTAAATGACATGACACTCTGCTATCTATATGACTCTGCTTCCATTAAGTGCTGTTAGTAGTTAATTAATTAATTCAGCATTTCAACATTTCCGTAAGGATGCGCTAAATTCAACAAAGCGGTTTAATATAGGATGTATTGATCTTGTGATTTAGCGAATTTTACAATACCAATATTTTTTTAATTGGCCGTTACATTTTTATATGTGAATATTACACACACCACATTGATCCTTTAACAATGCGTTGGCGCAAAAAAGCACACCTTTTGGACCAATTTTGCAGCGGGATTTCTCCACTGCCACAAATACTGCCTTAACAAAATACTCATTTTGTGCACTTTTTTTACTGTACCAATATTTTAAATTGGTCTTTGAACTTAGCTTTATTGCAAGGCTAAAAAAAAACACGTTACTTTGCCAAAGCACTGACAGAACCCATAGATCTAATGGTGTTGTTGAGCACTCCAAATGCAAACTTTGCATGCAACAATCCGG